GACTCTTTCACCCCCACAACTCCCCAAAACACCCCCTACACCCCCCTCCCCCCAAACTTTTTTTAACATCCCAACCTTCTAAAAACTACATTTTCATCCTTTTTTCAACTATAAATACCCCAAATCCTTCATTCTTTTCACGCACAAAAATATTATCTTCTACTCTCTCAACAATTCTCAAAAGTCTCACTCTCTAATCTCTCATTAACATTAAAATTACGAATTTGATCTTTGGAAATTGGAGCTTCAAAATTCAACTTTCAATTTTCGGCATACACGTCTACTTTTTTAAGTAGACGTTTGGTACATTCGTTCCAACTCACTTTTCATTTAGTTATTTATTTGTTTGCATTTAATTATTTATTTTGTGAGTAATTAGTCTCTAGTCTCTACTTATTTAGTTATTTATTTGTTTAAAACTTTGCATTACATTTTCGTATTATATATAATTTCTACTTATTTAGTTATTTATTTGTTTAAAATTTTGCATTACATTTTCGTATTATATATAATTTATTCACTTTTTATATTTGAATATGGATTTCGGAAAAAACATTATTGAAAAGGGTAAAACAACCATAGTTAATTCGTTCACTAATTTATCTAGCTCAAAATCCAAGAAAAATAAAAAAACCGGTAGTACTTCTCAATCTAAAACTAAAAAAACTTCTCAATTAAGAATAAATACGGATGATTATACGCATGTTGATGAAACTGTTTTTAATATTGATAGTAATAGTGGATTAGATCCTTATCATGAACATTTACAAAGAAGATTTGGTAATTTTGAAGAGGAATTACCTGAAGATGATGAACATGATGATGCTAATGATTATATTGATAGTTTTGATAATAATGTTACATGTTGATGAAACTATTTTTAATATTGATAATAATAGTGGATTAGATCCTTATCATGAACATTTACAAAGAAGGTTTGGTAATTTTGATGAGGAATTACCTGAAGTGATGAACATGATGATGCTAATGATTATATTGATAGTTTTGATAATAATGTTGATGACTATGATGATGATGAAACTGAGCTAGTTACGGCTACTACTCCCACTCTCAGTCCCTCTTCCCTGGCTCCCACTCCCTTTCGTTGTCCTGCTCCCATTCCCCCCGTGCATCCTAGGCCTAAGGTAGAATGCGCTAAAAAATCAGTTGTGTGGCAATTTATGACTCAAAATGAAGATAAAACACAAGCTATTTGTAATAAATGTAAACATACAATGAATCATAAAACTGTAGGAAAACAGGGTGGGACGGGACATTTGAGTAAATATCATTTAATGTCATGTTGTAAAAATGAATTTTTGCATGCTAAAGCTGTAGCCGAAGCTAAAAAGAATGGTACCACCCTTTCTGAAACTGTAGGAGTAGGGGGCTCTAATATGGTCCAAATACAATTAAATCCTTCTAATGTTTCTAGTTCTAGTATACAACGGTCATATAGTAGAGAAAAAGATCTTGAAGAATTAGCTAAAATGATTGTTGTTATGGGTTTGCCATTTAGTTTTGCTGAAAATCCCGGTTTTATTCATTATATTCAAATTGTGTATAATCCACATTTTAAAGGTTTTACTAGAAATACAATTAAAAAGGCTATCTTTGATTATCAAGCTCAACATTTTCAATATCTTCGTTGTTTATTTTATTATAACAATTGTAAAATAGCTATTACTACTGATATGGGCCGTAGTGTAAATGGTAATGATTATTTCACAATTACTGCGCATTGGATTGATGAAAATTGGACTTTGCAAAAAAGAATTTTAGATTATAAATATTGTGAAATGTATAAAACCGGTAGTTATATAGCTCAAACAATTATAGATATTTTGCAAAACTATGGAATTTGTGATAAAATAAGTAGTGTCACATTAGATAATGCTTCTAATAATAGAACGGGTAGTCCCCGTTTCTGGTGTTTTAGTCACCTTTCAATGGCTCCCTTAATTATGTGCGAGGAATTGGCGTAAGCCTTTCGGCTGGTTTAAGATGATGATTTCACTATTACTGCACATTGGATTAATGAAAATTGGACTTTGCAAAAACGAATTTTAGGTTATAAATGTTGTGAAATGCATAAAACCGGTAGTTATATAGCTCAAACAATTATAGATGTTTTACAAAATTATGAAATTTGTGATAAAATAAGTAGTGTCGCCTTAGATAATGCTTCTAATAATAGATCTGTTGTTGAAATACTAAAATCGTCTCTTTGCCCTATTTGATGATTTTCATATTAGGTGTGCTGCACACATATATAATTTGATTGTTAGAGATGGTATAGCAATGTATAATGATGGTTGCATAAAAGTTGAAACTGCATGTCATTTTATTTTTAAATGTCAAGTTAAGTCTAGACGTAGAAATTTTGAAAATCATTGTCGTGAATTTAATCTTCCACCCAGAAAAATTTCAAAATTAGTGTGTACTAGATGAAATTCTTTATATGAAATGCTTGAAGTCACTTATGAATATAGGAAACTTTTACAAATGGTTTGGAATGCTCATAATTCAAATATGATATATATACTTGATGATAATGATTGGAATGACGTAAAAGAACTTATAGAATTCTTAAAAGTTTTTTATTTAACTAAAAAAAATATATCTGCACTTCATTATCCAACTATTTTCTCTGTTTTACCTAATATTTATGCTATTTCTAGTAAATTTTATAAATTCAAAAATAAATCAAGATTTGAAGAATCTTTTAAGAAAATGATTGAAAAATTTAAAAATATTTTATTCCTATTCCTCAAATTTATTTAACCGCTTGTTTGTTAAACCCACATTACAAAGATGAAGGTGCATCACGAATGGTTGATAAAATATATTTTAATTTGGGTATTGATAGTGAATATGATGAAACACCTAGTTGTCAAGATGTTAAAGATAGTATAAAAATTGAAGCTAGAAAATTGTATGACTTGTATAATTCTAATAGAATGAATGTAGTACGTAATGAAGAGCCTCAGAGTTCTAGGAGGAGATATAATGAAGATGATCTTGATGATATGATAGATTGTTATCTTGAACTTTCTCATAATGATATAAATGGTTTTGATGCATATATTAATCAAAATACAGAACCTACTACTATTGATCTTCTAGAATGGTGGAGCAATCACGACCAGAGATTTCCAAAACTTCAACCGGTTGCTCGAGATATGTTAGTTATTCAAGCATCTTTAGTAGCTTCGGAAGGCGCTTTTAGTGTATCAAGATTTCAAATTGGAGATCATAGATATTCATTAGCAATAGATAGCTTGGAGATATCGGTACTATTTAGAGATTGGATTAATGGCGAGAGAAGGAGTTATGGTCGTCCATCTTTACCGACCAAATTTAAAAATGATGTCGATGAAATAATGCAAGATTTTAGTGACGACGACATTGATGCAATGGAGGAACTATCTAATCAACCAATTCCAGAGCATGTTACTAGAGAAATGTAAATGATTTAAAAAAAGATTTCCTTGGTTAGCATAAACTATTAAATTTAAATGTCTATTAGTATGCGTATGATAATTCGAGGTTTAATTCAAACAGAACATTTCCTAGAAGGTGGCTGTGTAGATTAGATTTTTTAATACTCTACTAATATTTTGTAACTCAACTTGTACTATTTAATTAATATTAATAAAAGTATAGGCTATTCGCCTTAATTTTTTTTTAATTATTATCTTAAATTTAAATTTTCAAAACTTTTAAAGTGTGAAATTTAAACTTTTATAGTTTTAAAGTTTGAATTTAAATTTTCAAACTTTTAAAATTTAAAGTGTGAAATTTAAATTTTTATAGTTTTATAGTTTTAAAGTTTATAATTTAAATTTAAATTTTCAAACTTTTAAAGGGTGAAATTTAAACTTTTATAATTTTAAAGTTTGAATTTAAATTTTCAAACTTTTAAAATTTAAAGTGTGAAATTTAAATTTTTATAGTTTTATAGTTTTAAAGATTGAATTTAAATTTTCAAACTTTTAAAATTTAAAGTGTGAAATTTAAATTTTTATAGTTTTAAAGTTTGAATTTAAATTTTCAAACTTTTAAAATTTAAAGTGTGAAATTTAAATTTTATAGTTTTATAGTTTTAAAGTTTATAATTTAAATTTAAATTTTCAAACTTTTAAAGGGTGAAATTTAAACTTTTATAGTTTTAAAGTTTGAATTTAAATTTTCAAACTTTTAAAGTGTGAAATTTAAACTTTTATACTTTTAAACTTTGAAAGTTTGTATTTAAAACTTTAAAAGTATAAATTTTTAACTTTAAAATTATATAAGTTTTAATATTATTTGAGTAATGTTCGTAATTTTTTAATTTTAACAATTTTTTTTTAAATATATAGCCGTTGGGACCCGATTTCCGGTCCGTTACCGATCCGGAACGGGTATACATATTTTTTTCCGGAATTACCGGTTCCGATACGGTTCCGGTCCCATTGCCACGCTTAGGTTAAGTAGTGAAACTCTCGTGTATGATTTTCATCTTTAAGTTTGAAGTCTTGAAAATACTACCAGTAATAAGATGGAGGAAGATAAGGATGACATCAAGTCATTATGCCCTTTATATCCTATCGATACACATGCTACAATAGTTGAAGTAAAGATCGTGTTCCTGCGAGGGTAATGTAATCCTAAAAGTACGTCCTCAGTTTGGATTGCAGGATATTATTCGTTAGCTGGAATCACTAGTAAACATCGGTTAATCATACAATGGTGAACTCGGACCTTGTACACACCAGTCACAGTGTGGAGATGGTCATGTCCGAAGTCGTTACCTTAATAGCAAGGAGGGTAGTTCAGTTTTGCTTAATATAAACCCGAGAAATTTTCCCAAATTGCTGACTTCAATTTGATTAGTTTAATTAATTGGATCATAACAATCACGTCTAATCATAACCAAAACGGAGAGTAGGGGCGAGATTGACATACAAAGGAAAGGAGGCTAATCTTTTTCAGATACGTCAAGTTCAAGCATATTACATGAAAATTATCAGTTACACTTAATTAAACATAAACTTATATAGCTTCTATTTATACAAGTTACTAATATTCTACCAGATCCCAAATTAGCAAAACACACATGTATAATAATAGTATAGTTAAACACAAAACATCCACAACACCAACAATACAGTTGAAACATAATAGGCTAACTAATGCGAGGCTGTAGAGTTACCATTGTCATCAGAAACCGATGCATGAACCTTGTCAATGTTAGCAGTAGGAGGAGCAGCAGGTGCCACAACTGATGGGTGGTCGGTATGAGTATTTGGCGGTGAAGAAAGTGCTCTGTGTACCCCCATCAACAAATATAGGAAGCATGTGATCCATCAATATGGGAACCAATTGCATCACTAACTCCTCCACATTTCCTTATCGGTGTTGATGGAACATTCAAAAGGAGATTTCCTCTCAGTGTTGATTTAACATTCAAAAGTGTTGCTGGCGAGGTAGCATAAGAGGTATGGAGATTCGGGCCATGGTAGCTTTTTGCTTGAGATTCAAGACTATATACTCTTATCTTCTTTTCCCCTCCAGTGGCTTGGTAATATGCTTGACACTGATCATCAGTATCAGAATGACCCTGTGTTTGCCGCTGTAATATTTCATGAGATCGTTCCTGTAGAAGAGTTTAATAAATTAGTGAAATTTAAACAGTAAAGAATATTGAGCACTCAGTTTACAAAATAAAAGGAGACACGAAAGTCATATATAAAGTCAATATTATAATTATACAAAATTGAACTTACATGTACGATTGGGGATTGCTCACCGACTAAAGATTTACCAGCATGACCATGTGTATGGACGTGCAAATGTTTCTCACTTGGTGTTGGATCTCGACCCATTTCAGCAGCCTATACAAAACACATTTTCAAACTGAGGATAAATTGCAAAGAAGTTAAATTGTGAGCCTAGATCCAATAGTGACGACGAAGCTCATATACCAGTCAGGAGAATACAGAAGGCACGTCAGAGAAATAATACTCCCTCCGTCCCATTTTATGTGGCAACATTTGACCGGGCACGGAGTTTAAGAAATAAATGAAGACTTTGAAATGTTTACCAAATTGCCCTTTAAAAAGTAGACTCTTTTTTCTCTCTCCTCATAAATGTATTGGAGTATTATTTTAAGATTAAGTGGGACCAACAAGGATAAAAGAGGAATTGTACCTTTATAAACTTACCATATAAGGAAATGTGACATTCTTTTTGGGACTGACCAAAAAGGAAATGTTGCCACATAAAATGGGACAGAGGGAGTAATAGAAATTTTCAGCTAAATGAAGTTAACAGAAGCCACTAACCCACCTTTTCAATGATAGTCTTTTGGGCATACAAGATATGAAATATGTTACAAAACATTTAAACTTTTAAAAACAGTTATATGTGCCTTTCAAAAGTTTAGTTGTTATTCATAGTTAAGACTTACAAGTTAAAAAGCCAAACAAGGAAAAAAACTAATTACTATGTTAAAGAACTTAGAGGAGGTATCAAGCTTGACAGCGCAAGCCCCAAGTTTCATTCCTCTTGGCAATACTACAGTTTACAGCTTCTTTAGACTTGTAACTCTAACCTTCTTCTCCTTGTTATATCAAAATAGAAAGACAAGTTCTTCCTCAAGTATTTCTTTTTTTTTTTGATTTGCACCGGGTGTCCGAGTCTCTTTGAGCCCCGACTAATCCCGGGGGTGCACAGGCCCTCGGCAAGGAGTTTCCCGCAAGTGCACCACGGTTAATTCAGGTTTTACCCAGTCCGATGGCCCTCAGAAATTGTTTGCACCCAGTGGGTTTCGAACTTGAGACCTTGAAAGGGAGCAAACCCCAAGGCTCAAGTATTTCTTTTCAGTCCCAAATCAACAATTTGGGCTAATATGATCTAAATGTTGGTCAAGATTTTCGGCTAAGTAAACTATCAGAGCTCCACGGCTGCACTGGATTAAAACATGCTCACAAGTCTCTTGCGATGTAGACATGAACTTACAAAAGGCTAAAGCTATATCATGTAACTTTCAGATTATGTACTTCTAGTTTCTTAAATGTGTGTGCATAATGCTAATCTTTTTTTGGTTGACAGCATGCATGCTAAACTTATTAAAGATACCGGAATTCTTTGTCCATGCGACCTGTGCAAGGGAACTAAAGTGAGTATTTAGGGTGTGTTCGGTATGAAGAAAATGTTTTCCAATTATCCCATGTTCGGTTGGTTAAATATTTTGGAAAATATTTTCTCTAGGAAAACAAAATAAGGAAAATGAGCTCCCTAATGGAAGTAGGGGAAAAAAGCTCTACTAGGGACTTGATTGTGTCCTCCCCACCCTCCAACACACCTCATCTTCACTCCCACCCCCCCCTAGCCCTCGTCCCCACCATCTCACACCCCTGCCTTCCATAGTATTTGTCTGAATTATATACAAATGCTTTTAGGATAGTTTTTACTTACCTACCAAACACAAGAAAATAAGTTGTCTAGTAGACATTTTTCAAGAAAACATTTTCCTTCCTACCAAACACACCCTTAGTTTTTTCCATTTCTCTTGCTTCCCTTTTTCACACTCTACGACTTTAGTTGTCTTAATAAACAGTTGTCTTAACTGACTGTACTATCACATTTTGTATCCCTTCTATAATATTTCCACTGAAACAGTAGCAATGATGTGGATGTAAAGTGATATACTTACAAGTCTCTTGCGTTTCCTAACTGAGGATTTGCCTGCATGACCTGCGCTAGCTCGACCTCTACCTCGAGTCATATCTACACAAAAATATAAATACAGGAGGATATGAAATAATGCATAGGAAGAAAACATTCAACAGAGAAAAAGAACTGTGAAGATCTCATTTGTGCCCGACTTTATTGACCAGCTCTCTAAAGATCTCAATATTAAAATGAAGATTGGTAAAAGAGATACAGCAAGGATTCAAGAATTCTGACTTGGGAAATCAATGCCATCATAGATAAATTGTTAAATCCAACCAAACTTCACTATCATTCATTTATAATAATCTGACAACTGAAGATTTCTCTGCCGTTCCCTTTTCTTGACGCTACCTATTTTGTTCTCTCCAACTGCACAAACTTAAGATAATTGATTTTGAAGAATCTGCATGGTCTGTTAGTAAGGAGTATATTCTTGCCTGTGACTCAGTTTCTTTACTAGTAACACCTAACTACTAGCATTAAGTTTGCAGTTGATTGGGGCAATAGACACAAGAAAAAGGTAACTAAAAGAAAAGGGAAAGGCGAAAATGAAAGGAAAGATCAAAATGGTCTGAAAAGAAAATTTGAAGACCATCACAGTTGCTTCATGCACTCCCTGTGACATGTCTTGTATCAAAGGGGACCTGGCTATAATGCGACTGCTGAATGGTACAACAATAATGTCAATATGTAACCAAGTAGAGGGCAAACAATTGTAGTATCAAGTTAGAGTTGCAAGGAGGGTAGGCTAAGAAAATAGAGATGAATAGCATTCATCAGTAGCAGGATAAGGAACTGGAAAGCGGGACAGATAGCTATCTTATTATATTTTAGAGTAATATGAGCTACATGTTTTGTGTATTACTCATCCATTGAGTAGTGACAGCTGATATATTTATTTTATCAACAGCAACTGTTCACTGAATGGGCATGTGGATAAAATAAATGAAAAGATAAAGTAGCACCTATTTTCATTTGGAATGGAAGATTTATGCTATGCTATGCTATTCTAGAGGGAAGAACAAATTGACTTTAAGATCATATTTAAAAGAGAATGTCAAATTAAAGTCTTATGGTGGTGGTGACAAGTAACTACATCAAAGATTTTCAAGACTTTTTATACTCTAAAACCGAATTTTAACTTGCACCTTTGGCTCCAACCTCAAACTGGATTTATTCACCCTCACTTTACAAGAGAGTAACTCAATGGATCATAATAAACATGCAACTAATAGTTGCAGGTAGTAAATTGAGATTGCAATGTCAAAAAGATAGAGAACGAAAAAATCTAATAAGTGTACCAAGGAAAATATATACATATTTTCAGAATGTGAAACCTATAACTGCAATATGCAAAGCGTATGTTAAAGTTGTTCTTCTCCTGATAAATAAACTACTCTTTCCTAGATCAATAAGCTGTAAGACGATATCTGCGTGAGAGTCATAGCATTGCAAGGATACTCAATGATCTGATTAACGCAGTAAATTTTTTGAATACATATTTGGGAAAATGGAGTTATTTCCAGCTGCAGAATGGTAACAAATAATACACCCATTCTCGGAAAAAAAGGCAATTTACACCAATCCTTGATAATCTAGAGACTTAAAGACAACCTATGCTTCTGAAATTTAGTCCTACTAATAAGAGCAAATTAGATAGGCCACCTACTTAAAGGCAGTAAACAAAGAAGCAGTCTTACATACTTTGCACCTGATGATATAAACTTTAAATTCCACCCCTAGTTCTTCTAATTGTTAAAATTAATGAAATTAATTAGATGCGAGCTAAGAACGAACATATCTTAAGATGAACTGAAAAAGGATTAGATCAAATTTAATTAAGTTTCAAAAATTTGTATAACATGCTTAGGCTAGAGAAAGGATAAAGTCATGAGTCCAACTTTTCTTTGTTCTCTCCTGTTAGGTTCCCAACCTAAAAATTAGTTCACTAGTTTGTCGTTTCAATCATAATTTGTGCATCCTCATAGTTCACTCCAATTCTTTACATTCTTGTCCATTAGTTTTTTGTATACTTTGAACCTACAGTTTCGATTGTGCACCTCACCCAGGGAGCTGGAAGTTGGCAAAGTTACACTTTACTAATTCCTCACCTCCGCATCATGTATAACTTGGTTTGGATTTGCATCACTTCAACATTTTTGTTTATCTAGTGATATCACAGGGGAATAAAATATTGTCATGAATGAGCTAATATAATGTCAGTTTGTAATCAATACCAACTCTTTTGCACCTTTTTTCTTTTACTTCAAGAGGCACATGTAGCTGCTAAAACAGTTCAACATTTCCCCTAATAGTAAGCACACATATTCGCAATTTGTGAAATGAACAGGAAATGTATTCTCAGCAATGAAACTATACAACTACTTGAGAAAAAAAATACATCATTCTCTCATTGTAGAAATATACAGAACAGACAGAAATCAGATAACAGTAAATGGCCGAAAATTTTCAGTCTGCATCTGTTGAAATTATATCATCTTTCAAGTTACTGTACATTTTAAGAATTCCATACTTAACCTAATCTGGGTCCTTGTAACACACAATTATCAAAACAATGCACCATTTTAATAACCAGGAACTAGCAAAAATTCGATGTTAGGGTTTTGAAAGGAAGGTGAATTTCAGCAATCAAAGCAAATTGAGAAGTAAAATACTACTACAGAAAACTTACGGAGAGCGAGCGAGCAAGCAAATATTGCAGAAGGAATAGTAACAACAAAAAATCACCTGTAAAGAAACTAAATTGGAAGAAACAAAACAAAAAAGAGAAATATACACTACCTGCAATGGAAATTGGAAAACCCTAAATAGCAATATTTCACCTGCGAACGGCAAGAGGTATTTAAATCATAACCGGCGACGGAAAATTGCTATTGTACACTTTTTGACGATTTTCTTTTTTCTAAAAAAAAAAAAAAAAAAACTTGTGTCTCCATTTGATATGTGCAAAAGTTACATTGTGCTTTCTGCTTACTAAATTTTGTACATGATCGTGTCCCTAAAACTCAAAGCATAAAGTAGCAAAAATGTGTATTTCTTCACTGTTTCTGAGCATTCCATCACTAACATATGTGCCTTGAATGTAACTCTCATCAGTGTTAAGCTTAACTGCCTGTTGGAAATTTGATCCATTGCACTGCTCTACAAGTTCTGTGTTCAATTCTTGTTTGACATCTTACTCCATAAAATATGCTTTGCCAGTTTTCACCTGTTTGGATATGTGATATCATTTGAAATCGTGATATGAAATCCTTTGGACGAGAAAAATAATTCCAAGATAAAATTTCAATTTTTTTTAAAGAAATATTGATTTGGAAATTTCACATTTTTCAAAATATAAAAATTTATTTATAAGTTTATATTTTATAGAAAAAAAGTACTTTTTTTTTGCAAGAGTATCAAAAGAGTGATATTCACATAATATGAATATGATGACACGACTACTAATGATTTTGACCAACAAACAGCTCACTTACATTACACTATGATTTATGTTCACTTTTTTTTTTTTTTTTTTTTTTTTTTTTAAAAAAAAAAAAAAAAAGTGAACATAAATCATAGTGTAATGTAAGTGAGCTGTTTGTTGGTACAAAATACATTAGTAGTCGTGTCATCATATTCATATTATGTGAATATCACTCTTTTGATGCTCTTGCAAAAAAAAAGTACTTTTTTTTTGCAAGAGTATCAAAAAGAGTGATATTCACATAATATGAATATGATGACACGACTACTAATGATTTTGACCAACAAACAGCTCACTTACATTACACTATGATTTATGTTCACTTTTTTTTTTTTTTTTTTTTTTTGTATTGAACTAAAATTCAATTAATAAATGTAGTGTTTATTTATCTTTTAGAATAGCTTTGTGATAGTGCGTTACATTTTTGTTATAATTTTTTACTTATTTGGTAAGACTGCAGACAATTTTAATAATTTGTACAATTTAAGGAATTTTTATGTTATGAGCAAAAAAATACAATTTAAAAATTTAAATTGTACATCCAAACAAAAAATCAACACTTGATTTCAAATTATGATTTCATCTCAAAACAAGCCCTTGACTTTCACAAAATTTCTCTCTAAAGTATGCGACAAGATTAAAAATAATTTAGCATTGATTTTATGAAAAGAAGTTGTGTTGATTTCATTTTTTTTTTACTTAATCACGACGTCTTTAGTTGTGTATCGGACAAGGAGAATTTCAGTTTCTTTTGCCTGAAAACTATTTTCATTCTTACTTTCTTCGGTCATGGTTCAATGTCTGTTCTCGTGTCTTCGGAGTTGGATGTGTTGGCCATAACTTTCATGGATGTGGTTCGTAATTTATATAACATTACATTTGTCATGTTGTTCATAACCTCTCCTACTACTGTCCACTCTGTTGATAGCTGTAAACAAAAGTTTTTGATGGAAAACTTCTGTATAAATAGTACATCCGGAGATAAGATTCCTAAGTACAAATTCCCTTACTAAACATCGCACAATCTTCATCTTGAATGAGGTCTAAGTGCTTAGAAGACTTACCGAAATTGGAAAACAAACACCAACAACTCCAACGTCTCTAGCTTCGCTAAACAATGACTTGGAGGTATGTCGATCTATTATTTCCGTTGTTCTATTGCTCTGAATTCGCTTACCGGATGATATTAGTTTCACCAGTATTAACTCTAGATACTTTTCGAATTCAGTTGCCTTTACATATCTTTTCCAAAGCTATTATTCATTGCTTTTTATGATTTCTTTTACCTAGATATCACTCTTGTCACGTGCCACTTCAATATTTGTCCACCTAATCACAAATATTTTCATACCATATACAAGAGTACTTATATAAGATCAAGAGTTTATGATTTTGATTAGAGAAAAATCTATATGTTAAGGAAACATGAAAGGATTTATGTTATTACGTTAATATTTTTTCTTTTAGTTAACAAAGGTAATTTCGCAAGAACTCTACCAGGACAAACCTGGGTGTTTTGCATGTCTCATTTACAGATTTTTTGTTTCTTGTTTTAAATTTTAATATTTTAAAATCTGTCTTTTTTATATCAACTAAGTTAAAGTATTACCTACATAGCAAAAGTATAATAAAAAATTTACATTATAAATCTTTAGCCTAAAACTTAATTCGATATACAATCATAGAGTTAATATCTTAAAAGGTCACGAACTATAAGAAATTATCTTGAAAAGTCACTAAACTTTATTTTGTATCACGAAAATCACTCAACTTTACACTTTTATCTTCTAAAATCATTAAACTATATTTGTCCACCAAAATAAATCCGACATGGCAAAATAATTTTTTTTTATGCCATGTCATCGTGGACCCCACAAATAAATAAAATTATAAAATTAATTTATTTTAATGTCATGTAATCATGGACCCCACAAGTAAACAAATTATAAAATTTATTCATTTTTAATGTCTTCCCCTCTTAAATTTTGTTTTTGCAATAAAATTCATAACGCTTTTTTTTTTGTGACTATTTCAATCAAAATTTCTTTCTTTTCAACAACATTTAAAAAAATGCTAATCAACATTGGAAATAAATGTTAAATTCAATGACATTTACTATATTGCCTCCCGTGTCCACCTTGTTACATAATCATACTTGTACATCAATTTCAATATAAATAAGCAAAACACAAGTAACATTAGAGCATTTTTAAAAATATATTACATACTAGGCTGTTATGAGCACCATTGTTAGCCAAAAAAAAAGAAAAAACCACAACAATATATAGTGTCGTAATAGGTGTCTCACATAACCACAAAAAATTACAAAGATAATTTTTATACTTTGCTATGATTTCCAATCTTCTTCTTCTTCTTCTGAAGTTCAACAATGTACTCCTTCATGACTTTTCTCTTAAAGAGTCTGCCTCTCTTAGAAGTATGAGATAGTCTAGTAGTTTCGATACCTTTAATTGCAACTTCATCAACACCTTGAGCAGCCACTACATCAGTTTGAACAGCTATTACCTGTTCTTCAATTGGTGCCTTGTGAACAAAAAATAATAAGAAGAAATAAAGATATTGGTTGAGAAAGCATTCAAATTGTATTAACTTTAAAACAATCATTATCTGAGTTATGGTCGACTGATATGCCAAATTCAATCCTTGGTGATTATTAATCCACATCTCCGGGCGATACATATTTAAATAATCCCCGCCATTTGAAGCTGCTTCAGCTGGACTTATAGCCTCCAAATATTGGCTTGAAGATGATTCTCCGGCTTTGACAAAATTATAATGTCCTCTCGCATTATGTCCATACTTTTTGCAAATCGAACACATAACCTGTGTAGAACCTTTTTTGGATAGCTTTTGAGGTCGCCTTTTTACAGACTTCTGCTCAACTCTTTTTTCAGCTTTTCCAACAGCTTCAACCTTTTTTTTCTTCTGTAATTCTTCAGGCTTTTTTCCCCTTGATTTGGGCTTTCTTCCTCGCTTTTTCTTCACAATTTTAGGTGGTATTACCTCTCCACAATCCATAACCTCAGGCCAGTGATCTTTTGGATTTGTTGGATTGATGTAATGTGAATATACATTCTTGAAAGTTTCAATTGTGTAGAATGTATCCACATAATCCTCCACTCTTTCACTATTTCCAATAATACATGCATACGTATGAGGACATGGTAGTCCAGTTAGTTCCCATCTTCTACATGTACAACTCTTTGCCTTCATGTCAACAACATTAACTCCACCAGGACCATCTACCGAGACTCTTGGTCCCCCTGAATAATCAATTTTAAACCAAATTGCTTCCTTGCTAATCTTGTTCAATTTTTTCACAATTTTTGGGCAAATTGAACTATCAGACTTTGCAACCCAGCCTCTCTTCTTGTACATTCTTTTCATCAACTTGTTTTTTATCATTTCTAGCATTGTAATAATAACTTTATCTCTAGCATCAAGTATATACCTAAAATAAGTGCTACATTAGTAATACATATTATAAACTAATAACTATAATAACTACATACTCAGTGTAATCTCACAAGTCATGTCTAAGGGATAAAGTGTGCATAGACCTTACTCCAACTTAACATACATCAGTCGATAAAGGTGATCAACATAATAACAAATAACAGACAACAACACCATCCTAACAAGAAACTTATTAGTTGATATTTCCAAAGACAACCTCAGCCTGACAATGTAACTTATGCAATTACCTAAAGGCATAAATAACAACGTGATGACCAAAAAATAAGTGGATGAAAGTATTTAATTAATTACCTGTTAAAGATTTCACACAAGTTGTTGAGTAACATATCACATTTTGTATTTGTTCTAAACAATGCTCTTGTCTAACTTTGAAATGGCCTTTCTGGGTTATTGAAACACTCTCTTGCCGCTTTGTCCTCTTGGTCAAGTTCTTCCATGCATTTCTGGAAGATCACCTTGTTGCTTGCCCTAGCAGCATTCCATACCAAATCCTTCAAAGCTTTGCCTTTATGTTTTTGCTTGAAGTTCTGATACATGTGTCTAACACAATTTCTATGTTCAGCTTCCGGAAACAAATCTTTTACAACTCCAATCAGACCCTACATAAGAAACAAAGTAGTAACATATGTATTTTAAACAGAAAAAAGAACCAAAAAATATAAAAGATTTTTACTCACTTTTTTCCTGTCAGACATAAAGGCAATGTGGTGACTATTTATGATGTCTAAATCATATTCAAGATTGTCAATAAACCAGCTCCATGTTTCTTTACTTTCTGTTTCAGCTATCACATCATAAGCAACTAGAAATATACAATCATTTGGGTCTATTGCCACAGCAGATAATAAATTTCCTCCGTATGTGCCTTTTTGCCAGCAACCATCTAGGCTAATTAATGGCCTACAACCTGATTTAAAAGCTTCCTTGAGTGCTCTCATACACACGTAAAATCCCAAGAATTTCCCCCCATCTCTCCAAATTACAACATTAGATCTAGGATTAGATCTCAGCAATTCAGCTCTATACGATAGTAGCTTGCCATATTGAAGACCCTCATCACCATAAATCCATTTTAATGCTTGAATTTTAGCCCTCCAAGCCTTCAAATTTTCTATAGTATAATCAAAGTCCCTCCTTACTATTTCAACAATACCACTAAATTCAAATACTTTCTAGCAATGTACTTGGGAGAAAAGTGGAAATTATCAAACACCTTAGCACCTTTATGTT